TTCAACTCCAAAATCATGTCGTTTATGTTCTTGACACACTCCCCATTCTCGCTACTGTACAACCATAAGTAGTAAGGTGCACAGCCTATTGGAGCCAGTCCCATTACAACCACTTTTCTCACCTGGTCATTGTACAGGTTCTGCGGCACCAGTACATACACGTTAGAAGAAACATTAACCAGCAAAGTAGCCTAATATCTGCACGTTGAACTTAATAATCTTGGAAACAATGAGCCTAAGGAAACATATAATGCATGATAGAGGGAGCAAAGAGGCTAAATGGTTTGTATAAAGCTGCAAAACTCATTACATATGAAAGCAAAATGTCGAAGAAGGCAACTGCATAAAGAAGACAGTATTAAGATTTTGTATAGAACAAAACTGCACCTTGATCTCCTGTTTAATCGTCTGTGCTAGAAACTGGTTGAAACTCCATGGCAGGTAAACATTTTGAACATTTGAGGCATTCAGGAGATAGTAGTGAATGAAGTCATTGCTCCCAATCGAAATGTAAAACAAGGAATTAGATATCAGATCAGTAGTTGCATCCTCACCAATATTCACTATAAACTGCTGAACAGTGTCAGTAACTTGTTCTATTTGCTGTGCAAGTGAGATATGCTGACCCTGCACAAACACTAATCTAGCTTAACTAAAATGTAGTAGGTAAAAACTGATTCGTATATGATTTATATAAAACTATACCAATTCCGAGCCACTTGAGAATATAATGCCAGCACCTGCAGAAGCATAATTAACCCCAAGAACCATCTCTTTAATAGAACCAGCCTGTCCTAGATAGCTAGGCACAAATGGTAACCCAAGACGCACCGCTGATAAAATCAAAATGCACAAGAAACAATGAATAGAAAATTAGCTATCTTTAACCAAAAGGTCCTAGGAATTCATCATTGAATTCCACAAAACCAGTACAAACATTTTGAGATTGAATAGGATAAAAGACAAGAAATTTACAGCAAAAGATCCACAGGTCGATTCATTGAAAGTCATATAGATAATCTCAAAGACAATTACTCAAACACGTAGCAGTCTCAAATATCATTTCATTGAAAGTTCAATCTTTTTCTCTCTCGGACAATTAATCAAACACGTACCAGTCTCAACACTCAAAACTCTGAGCCAAAAAAATGGAAACTTTTCCCCAAATTTCACTACCCAATAGTTCAATTTTCCACAAAAACCAAACACCCCTTTGATAAAATTACCTAGATAATCGACTGGGATTCTTCCATTGCAGAATCGACCAGTAGGTTGATGAGTATCAAAATCACGACCATAAGGAAGCCTATCAGCACGAGCAAAAGTCCCAAGAAAGTTATTCGTACCACAATCAACAGAAGAATCACCAATAATGAATAGAGCCGGAACAAGAGGAGCAGTAGGAGGACGAAAAATTGGAGAGGAAGAGGTCGGAAAAGACTGGTTTAATGACGGAAAATCAAAAACAGAATCATGGGTTATGAGATCTTGAGGGTAAATGAGAGCTTTAGCTTCTGGGTATACGAAAAAGCTGAAGATGAACAGAATCTTGATTACAGAGAAATCCATGGCGGATACAGAGAGTGAGTGAGGAAGACGAAGAAGAAAAAGTTAACTGCTTTTGGCGGGAGAGTATAACCACCCTGTTAATTTTCTTTTCCCAAATTGTCCTTATATTATAGTTGCACGCTATTACTTTCTTTTTATGTCAATTTCCATGATATTTTTCGTTTTATGAAATTTTTATTTTTTATTTTGAGCCTACTTGTGAATATAGATTTTCTTGATTTTTAAAATAAAGTTTATATATTTAAAAATTATGTAAATAGAATATTATAAATTATAATAATTAATAATATAAAATATTTAATAAATATATAATTAAAAAAATTATTTGACTAAGGATTTTCAAATACCTTCATATTATTTTTAAAAAATAAGATATATATCCTATAAAGGTTTAAATACATTATTATTGTAAGAATAAAAATTAAACGAACTAAAAACAAACATCTCCTCTTGAGACTAGCACGAGGTTAAAATGCAAAGAAGACTCACTTTGAATTTTATGAATTGGACTCAAGATAATTTGAAAGGCAAATTACATAAATCTCACTATTTTAGATTTTAATTACTAGAATTCACGATGGTTTATAATATTATTTTGAGAAAAAGATCAAAAATACCGTAAACTATGTGAAATGAATAAATATATCTTTCGTTTGTAGTTTGGTTCAAAAATGTCTTTACTGTCAATACTTTGATTTAAAAATGCTCTCGCAGTCTATATTTTGATCCCGAAATGCCCTTATAGTTACTAAATGGGTCAAAAATGTCCTCTTCTCAAGATATATATCATTATTTTTCCTTTTCAAACACATATTCTTCCTAATCAAAATATTATCAAAGAATCATATTCTTGTTTTCTTTCTTTTAAAATCACTTTAACAAATAAAAATGTAGGAAATATTTTTTTTTCTTCTTCTTAATATCATTTTATTAATTAAAATAGAATAATTCCATGTACCCTTTTCGACATATAATGTATTTTCATTTTTTATTTTTTTCTGATTTGATGTAAGATAAATATTTGTTAATTTTTAAAAAATATTATTAGAAAAAAGAATATGTTTGAACGAAATACTATATTTATTTGAAAAATGAGCATTTTGACCTATTAAATAACAGTGAAACATTTTTGGGCCAAACTACAAATGAAGGACATTTTTGTTCATTTCACATAGTTTAAGAGTATTTTTTATTCTTTCCCTATTACTTTTAATTTGGATCGTATTTGTGAATATTTCAATTTACCTGATTTACGAATTTTGCAAATTGTTGAGAAAAATATCTAGTTCAACTTCTCATCCCTTTCTTTTTAATGTGTTCTTAAATTCCCTTTTAGTTCTTAAGTTGCTTTATAATTTCAATTACAAGTTCGTGAATAGATTTATTAGTTGTTTAAATTTGAATTCTGTTGATCTTGTTATTGAATTTGTTACAAGTGAACATCCACGCGATAATATTTTATAACATTCCTTTATTGGTTATCGACGGAGTATGAAATCATTGTTAATAGCAATGACGTGTAGCCTTTTACAATTTTTTTTTATTACACTTGGAAGTTTTATTTTGAATTTATTAACTTTGCAATTATCTATTAATTTGATGAAGCTCAATAATTTTTGTTCGAACTGTAGACTGTATTAAGAAATTTATTGATTTTGAAGTCGAAAGCATACTACAGGGTGCTTACTTGTAGTCCTATGTGGGGTTAAATTTATTTTTGGATCAAAATGGATAGTTTATAAATTAGTTGCAACTCGACTATATATTATTCAGTTGTTGTCGAGTGGAACAATAATAGGCCAACTCAGAATTGAGGTGTGTTTTAATACAAAGGGAGTGAGTGTTTAGGAGGTCATTACAGATCATGCCACATAGGACTCATTGCAGATTGTTAGAGAAACTACTCAAGCTGAATGCACTTAGCAGAAAAAGTTGACATTGCAGAAATACCAAAGTTACATGTAAAGACACAAAGAATGATATACTATCTATACAATGGCCATATATTCACAATTGTCTCTAAGTTGAACCTATCTGGTGCGTTGAGCTAACATGTCTTGCAGGTTCATAGGGTAACACATAGGTGTATGCAGGCTGGACCAGACGTTGTCAGCGAGGATAGCATTCACAGCATCAGTCGGATGAAATTGATCCCACCAGATGTGGCTAGAGGCGTTACTGCACGTCATTTCAGGGGAAACACACATGATCCAACCTTTATATTCACCTAAACCACAGCAAGCCTCATCTGTCACATTGAAACCTATAATAAGAATTGAAAAAAAAAAACAGTATGTCAGATTTGATCCTCTCGCCTGACATGTCCTGTCAAATGAGATCCTACACATTGCCTCACCATAACGGTTGTAATTCTGAATAATGTCCACTGAACCTTCAAATGCATCGCAGACTATGATTGTGGCATCAGCAAGCTCTTCATTTAGTTCAGAAAACTCCAAAATCATGTCATTTATGTTCTTGACACACTCCCCATTCTCGCTACTGTACAACCATAAGTAGTAAGGTGCACAGCCTATTAGAGCCAGTCCCATTACAACCACTTTTCTCACCTTGTCATTGTACAGGTTCTGTGGCACCAGTACATACACGTTAGAAGGAAAACATTAACCAGCAAAGTAACCTAATATCTGCACATTGAACTTAATAATCGTGGAAACAATGCAGGGGAAATTGAAACATATAATGCATGATAGAGGGAGCAAAGAGGCTAGATGGTTTGTATAAAGCTGCAAAATGTCGAAGAAGGCAACTGCATAAAGAAGACAGTATTAAGATTTTGTATAGAACAACACTGCACCTTGATCTGTTGTTTAATCGTCTGTGCTAAAAACTGGTTGAAACTCCATGGCAGGTAAACAGTTAAAACATTTGAGGCATTCGGGATATAGTAGTGAATGAAGTCATTGCTCCCAATCGAAATGTAAAACAAGCAATGCTGACCCTGCATAAACACTAATCTAATTTAACTACTACAAAATCAATAATCATAAAATGTAGTACGTGGAAATTGATTCGTATAAGATAAAACATTACCACTTCCGAGCCAGTTGAGAATATAATATCAACACCAGCAGAAAGATAATTGTACCCAAGAACCATCTGTTCTAAAAAATCAGACTGAACTAGATAGCTAGGCACAAATGGTAATCCAAGATGCAGCGCTGGTACAATCAGAATGGACAAGAAACAATGGATAGAAAATTAGCTATCTTTAACCAAAAGATCCTAAGAATTCATCATTGAATTCCACAAAACCAGTACAAGCATTTTGAGCTTGAATAAGATAAATGACGAGAAATTTACAGCAAAAGATCCATCCGCCGATTCACTGAAAATCGAACAATTCTTTCTCAAAGAAAATTAATCAAAAAAGTAGCAGTATCAAATTTCAAAACTCATCCAAGGAAATAATAATTAAGAATTCATCACTGAATTCCACAAAATGAGAACAATTTTTTGAGCTTGAATAGGATAAACAAGACAAGATATTAACAGAAAAAATCCATAAACCTTTTAATTGGAATTTCAATCTTTTTTCTCTCTCAGACAATTAATCAAACACGTACCAGTCTCAAGTATAAAATCTCAAACACTCAAGCCAAAAAAATCGAAACTTTTTCAAATGGTGAAGTTTTCCACAAATCCTAAAAAAACCAAGAAATTACCTAAGTATCAAATCTCAAAACAGAAGCCGAAAAAATCGAAAATTTTTCCCAATTGAAATTTTCCACAAATCGCAAAAACCCAATTCATAATCGACCAGTAGGTTGATGAGTATCAAAATCACGACCATCCACACGAGCAAACGTTCCAATACTATTATTTTTACCACAATTAACTGACGAAACACCAATCACGATTGGAGACGGAGAAATCGGATTTAAGACGGAAAATCGAAAAAAGAATCATTGGGTAAATGAGAGCTTTAGCTTCTGGGTATACGAAAAGAATGGATTTGAAAATCCATGGCGGATGGAGTGATGAACTGCTTTCGGCGGGAACTATAACTATCAATTAGAAAATTCCTAAATTAGCTCTGTTAATATTTTTCTTTCCCAAATTATCCTTACATTATAATTTCAATTCAATAACGTACCATTTCGCTTAATCAACCACGTATAATAATAGTCATCAAATTCAATAAACCACTTAGTAAAAAAGAATTTTCATATAACAAATCAAGAACTCATTGCAAGATGAATACAATTTAGCTAGATGAAGCACAATCTCATCTTCATTGATGCTTGTAAAAAATTTCATGGGCAACTTTTTCACCCGGCGTTTGAAAATAATTATTGCATTTTTTACACCGATTCTTCTTACGCAGCTGGATTTTTCTATGCCGTTCTTTGTAATGTTTTTCCAAATGATCAAGTGATGCAAAAGTTTTCCAGCAATCAAATTGATCGCAGCGATGATTTTTTTTCGTAGGTGCATCATCAAGTAGTACCTTTTTTCTCTTTTCGATAGGTCTTCATAAGTTGCCATAGGACGACTACCAGTAATGATTGCTTAGAGAAGGTTAGTAATCGTTGAGATAACACTCATATATATACTTGAAATTGGGATAGCATATATGTTTCTCTACTTGAATGATTTTTTTAAAATCAATGATTAAATCGATAACCGAATCAATAATGTATTTACCGATAATAATTTATAAATTAATATTTTAATATTTCTATAATGGTTAAGTGTAATATTTCGCAATTTGAAATAACTAGGAAGAAACTTATAATTGAAAAGGGTCTTTTTTTTGGAAAGAAAAAAATCTGGAGTTAGGAAAAAGTGAGTTTTTGGTCCACTTCAAACGGTCATAACTCCTATCTCAGGGTGAGTTAGGTGTATTTACAGATATCATTGGATAGCTCTTGGAATGATCTTTCCAACGCCGCCAAGTTTACGCGATTCTGAGCTTGTATGAGTGAGTTATGCTCTTTGAAAGTTGAGTTGTTGGAATACGGAAAGTCCAATCCGAATTTTTAAAGTATAGTTTGAACTTTTCCTTACCCAACTTAATTAATTCATTTTTGGTAATAATTCTAGGGGCTAAACTGACTGGGTTCAGATTAAGCTTTTGACAAATAAAGGTAGGGTTTTTTTATTTTTTATTGGAGAAAGAACATAAGAGAAAAGAGAAGAGGAAAAACAAAATTTATCATTTCGAAAGGATTTGATTGCGGGCTTCTTCAAAAGATTTGATCGTGAGTCTCACATAGCGTTGGGTTTGTTCACTCACGCCGCCAAGCATGCTAATTCAGTGAAATTCGTCCTAAAGAGTTGAAAGATTGATGTTCTGACATGTATTCTTGAATTCGAATAAATTGGGATGAATTGATAAGTTTATGAGATCCTTACATTGAGTTTTAGGGTTGTTTGAGTTAGATTCTTGTGTATATATGCTGGGCATCGGGATTTAAAACGAATGAGAAAGGTATTCGAGTTTAGGCGAATTGAGGCTGGGAAATGAAGAAGAAAAAAGTCGAGTAGGGTTCGTAAAACAAGTCTGAGTTTAAGCGAATTGGGGCCGACCCTATCCATATTTCTCAAATCCCACAAATCGACAGACTTATTTAGGCTGGACTAAAAAACTTTTTTCTTAAATGGGCTTCGAAAATCATAGCCCAAATCAAATCATGGTTTAGGACATATCGGTTCAATGAGCCTAATCCGTGTTGACGACTCTAATTATACGTAGGATTTAAGTATTGAGTGTTCTTTTATTTTTAATTTGAAATATTCCCTTTTATAAAATTGCTGAGTTAATAAGACCTTGTATTATTTATGGATACATTTGGTGAAATAATATTAGGAATTATTATACATAATAAATTTTGTTTATTTAAAAAAGAAAAGAAAAATAAACAATCGTTACCGTTTGATTTAATGAATGAGAAAAATGAGGATTGGTGAACCATTACCACATCCAATAAAAATATTAAGAAATGGCCTTTATAAAGCTTTTCCCTGAAGTGATTAGAACAGTGGATCATCAGGTTAAATTAGGCAACTAAATTCATCAAGTTTATCGGACTTTGGATACTTGTATGTGACGCATCTACTGGCAAAATTAGGAGGATATACAGATAATATGACAAAATTAGGTGTAATTTGTTTTATTTGTTGTATATACACTATATTCAAGTGATTCACAATATGCGAAGAACATGTATCTATTTGTAGCTTGAATATTTGAATAGTTAGGTAGTTTTCCAAATCTTTGTTGATATAGGAATATTTTAGTCCAAATAAAGTGGAACTAATAGTCCAAATCCTTGTTGATACAGGAATATTTTAGTCCAAATAAAGTGGAACTAATAGTCCAAATCGTTGTTGATATAGGAATAATTTGGGCAGGATTGATATTCGTAGAAGTCAAAATCCTTGTTGATTTAGGAATGTGATTCAAACTAATGGAATATAACTTGCAAGCTATATATACATATGCGTTGTTGTTGCCCAACCATTAGAACTAGAACTATGTCAGGTGACTGGGCAGATTTACCCATCGATCTCCTTCATCTGATTGCAAATCGCATTGAAGATCTTAAAGATTTCATTGTTTTTACTTGTGTTTGTACCTCTTGGAAAAATGCTTCACCAAAGGATAAATTTGATGTGTTCACTCCCCAAGTTCCCTTGTTAATGTTAGCTGATAAAGATAGCGATTATCGACAATTCTATTCACTTTCCAAGAAGAAAGTTTCCAGTATATTCCTCCCTGAAGCTAGAGGACGACCCTGTTTTCCATCGGAGGGATGGCTCTGCACCATGGAAAATAATACCGGAGAGATGAACCTGTTGCATCCTTTGTCTCGTACCCAAATTCATCTTCCTTCGCGAGAAAACTTAATGGCTTCGAATGGTCTCGGAGATGAACAGATCTGGACCTGCATAGAAAAAGTTGTTTTATCTGCCAGTCCATGTCTGACATCAGATTATGTACTCGTGGTTCACTATCACGCAAATATTAACCATTTGGCTTTTTGGCGACCTGGTGATCTCAACTGGACTCATATTAAGTGTCGTCGATTTGGTGCTATCACGGGTATAAATTATTATAAGGGTCATTTTTATTTTGTAACATGTATGGGTCAATTCTGGGTTTTTGAAGTTGCAGGGCCTACCACTTCCGAACCAATTGTAGAGCCACGGTTACTCTTTTGGTCTGAAGACAAAACCATCTTTCGTCGGCCTTCAGTTCAGTTTTACCTAGTCGAGTTATCTGATGCACTCTTATTTGTGATACGATTTGCCCATTATTCAAATGGTGGACACAAGACTTTTAAATTTAAAGTTGTTGAATTAGATCTGATCGAAGGTGAATTAAAGGAAAAGGAGATTAAAACCTTGGGAGATTCAGCTTTTTTTTTGGGCTTTAATACTGGAGCATGTTGTATTGACTCCTCTAAATTTTCTGGAATCAAGCCTAATCACATCTACTTTACAGATGATTGGAACGACATCTTAGAAGGTGGTGGTGGAAAAGATACAGGGGTTTACAATTATGAAGATGGACAAATTGAATCTATTTATCCTGGATTGTCGCTAAGTCTTATTTGTCCGCCAACTTGGATTATGCCATATCCAATAATGTGACTAACGCTATTTATTCTCATTCAAGTTAATGATCTTAATTTTGGCCGGTGGATTGTGCTCTTCTTTTTATTTAGTTAATGGAGTAATAGATTCAGTGGCGGATTGGGGCGCTTAAAACAAAATTTTAAATCGGTATCTAAAATACAAATAAACTTTATATCTGTATTTCTTCAAATTTATTTTTCTTACACTAAAAAGATAAAGGTTATTAGTCTCTTATGTTATTTTTTCAGTTATTAGTTTTAGGTAAGATTTTATCAACTCAATAATGAAAAACATTTTTTCGGTGAGACAATTATTATATGAATTGTTAAAATAATTTTACAAGTACTCCCTCTGTCTGGTATTATTTGTTATGGTGTCTATTTTAGAGTCAAACCATAAAAACTTTGACTAACAATTCAAGATGTATTTATTGATCATATTAATTAATATGCAAAAAATTATAATTTATAGTACTTTATATAGTTTTAGAATATCTAATTTTTTGGTTTAAAATATCGAATTGATGTGATCTAATTTACCTTTGAAAATTAGTCAAATTAACTTTCGATAAGCGCAACATGACAAGCAATTCCGGACGGAGGGAGTAATAAGTTGACAAATATTAAATAAAGTTAAAAGTTAGAACCATAAAATTTGACGCAAGAAGTTGATAACTTGATATATTCCATTTTAATATGCTTTTAGTAATGCTTGAAACTAAAATTCAAAAAGAAGTAAAATAAAATTTGCAACTCACTTTGTTCAACACTTTTCACTATTAATTCTTATTTTTAACAAAGTACAAAATATGTTAAAATAGATAAAATAATATATATTTTCAAAAACTATACATATTATCATAAATAATCAATTTTTGTATAAAATTTTTAACTCATAATTTATTCTTGATAAAAATTTGAAGGCCTAAGGCAAAGGCCTT